CCGGTGAGATTTGAACAGCCGAACTGCAGAACTGCAGTCAGCTGAAGTAGCCTGCAGTGCTGCATTTAACCACTGCGCCACCTCGGCTCTCTGCATGCACAGTGCTCGCGCATTTCATCAGGACGGAAGGAAGATAAAGAGAACGAAGACGGATAGAGAGAAGGGAGGGAGGGAAAGAGGATAGAAAGAAGAAAGGATAAAGACGAGGGAAGGAGGGAGGAAGACAGAGAGAAGAAAGGATAGAGAGAAGGGAGGGCTCCAGGGAAAAAAGGATAGATAGAAAAATGGATGATTGAAAAGGGAGGGAGGGAAAGAAGATAGGAAGAGGAACACAGATGAGGAAAGGTGGGAGGAAGGAAGGAAGAAAAAAAGAGGGAGAAGGAAAGGAAGGAAAAAGCAAGAAGGAAGAAAGGAGTGAACCGGAGCGAACTGGCTGAATACCACTTCTGATCCCAAAGCAGATTGTCCCGGTCTGGTTGACCTTCCAAAGTGGCTTAGTTCCCAGAGTTCCCAATGAGGACATCGCTAAGAATTCTGGGAGTTGAAGTCCACGTATTCCGAGAGTCCTTGAGTTGGGGAAGGCTGACCACACCTTGAATACATTCTGTTTTAAAGTGCTTTACCTTCATTGCTACCGAACCTTCGATCCTTTGCAGTTCACCAAGTAACGCCGAGAGCAGGGTGGATTTCCCAGCCCCCACGTGACCCACCACAGCACACAGACTGCCCTGGGGTACAGTAAGATTTATCCTGTAAAGGTAAAAAAAAATGTACATCTTAGTCACCTTCAAGCCGTATTGTGGGTGGAAAGATCCTGGCAGCAGCCAGACTAAATACAATGTGGAGATCTGGAGGAATAGAAAGGGACAGGGAATAATAGCAATAGTAATAGCAGTTAGACTTATATACCACTACATAGTGACTTTACAGCTCTCTCTAAGCAGTTTATCAGTCAGCCTCTTGTCCCCAACGATCTGGGTCCTCATTTTACCGACCTCGGAAGGACGGAAGTCTGAGTCAACCTTGAGCCGGTCAGGATCGAACTTCCTGTCAGTGGGCATCAAATTTTACCTTTTCAGGCACGGATTGCTTTCTCTGCACCAGCTGAAAGTTCCATTCGTGACAATGATGGAATTCGGATCTAACAGAAAAATGCATGAATCAGCACATATTTTGGGATGATGATGGTTTACTTTCTATATTAGTCAGAGCAGGTTTGCTATGGCACATCCAGTTATGAGGCCTCTGCCATGCCCTTGTAGACATTTTCATATATAATTATGTGAATTGTAAATGTATAGTATATAGAATAACAGAGTTGGAAGGGACCCTGGAAGATTTCTAGTCCAATCTCCTGCTTAGGCAGGAAACCCTACACCACTTCAGAAAAATGGATACCCAATATCTTCTTAAAAACGTCCAGTGTTGGAACATTCACAACTTTTAGAGGCAAGTTGTTCCACTGATTAATTGTTGTTGCTATCAGGAAATTCCTCCTTAGTTTTAAGTTGCTTCTCTCCTTGATTAGTTTCCACCCATTGCTTCTTGTCCCGCCTTCAGGTCTTTTGGAGAATAACTTGACTCCCTCTTCTTTGTGGCAGCCCTGGAGATACTGCTCTCATGTCTCCCCTAGTCCTTCTTTTCATTAAACTAGACATACCCAGTTCCTGTAATCATTCTTCATATGTTCTAGCCTCCAGTTCTCTAATCATCTTGGTTGCTCTTCTCTGCACTCTTTCTAGAGTCTCCGCATCTTTTCTACATCGTGGCAACCAAAACTGGATGCCCTATTCCAAGTGTGGCCTTACCAAGGCATTATAAAGTGGTATTAAGACTTCACGTGATCTTGATTCTATCCCTCTGTTTATGTTTAATTCTTTTCTGTCAAGCTCTCATCATATGCTCAACAATAATAATGGCCGTTCTTGTCTCAAGAGCATTCATTTCACGAGCATTCAAAGTTAGGATGACACTGAAAACAGTGACTTAAGCAAATCCTCACACTTATGACTGTCGTAGTGTCCTCCCAGTCGCATGACCAAGGCACTTGGCCACCAGCATGTGTTTATGATAGTTGCAGTCTCCCAGGATCACATGAAGGTCACCACAGGGAATTGGGTTCATTTAATGACCACACAATTCACTAAACAGTCACAGTGATTCACTTAACAACCCTGGCAGAAAAGTGAAAGTAAAAGAAAAATCAGGTGTGAGTCTGTTAACTATCGCCTCATTTAGTGATGGAAGATCTGATTGCAACTGTGGCCATAAGCCAAAGTATCAGCTCTCCCATTCCTTATTCAGCCTTCTTGCAAGCACTCACACCTGTTCACAAAAGTTAGACATTTGAGGATTTGCATTGGCTAACCTGGTCCTACCCAACCTGTTGTGGCCCGCCAGCGGCCAGCAGAGCTGCCGGCAGATTCAGACAGTGAGGAGGTTGGGAAGGAACCTGGGCCAGTCCTGGAGTCTGGGGAAGGCTCTGATGAGGACTCTGTGTCAGAGGCAGAAAGGGGGCCAGAGCCGTCCGACAGTTATCAGCTGCCTTCAGAGTCAGACATCAGTGAGGCAGAAGAACATCTGGAGCCTGTTCCCAGTGTGCCCATATGCAGAGTAACCAGACGAAGGGAACAGCTAAGGAACAAGGGCCAACTTGGGAGTAAAGGCACAGTTGAATGTCCCCTCCCATAGGGAATAAAGAGGAGCGAAAGGGAAGGGGAGTTTGCAGGAGACAATTAGTTCTATTCATTAGGGTGAAGATCTNTGCTTTCTGGTGGAACCTCTTCTAACCGGTTCGGTAGATTTGACGAACCGGTTCTACCGAACTGGTGCGAACTGGTAGGAACCCACCTCTGTTCCCTTCCCTTCTCCATGACCACTTTTAATCACAGATCTGCATAATTCTACACACCCTACTTGCCATAACTGTAGCACCAAGAATGGCTTGCCCTCGGAAGTTGTGGATGCTCAATCACTGGAGATTTAAGAAGAGACTGAGCAACCATTTGTCTGTAACGGAATAGGATCTCTTGCTTGAGCAAGGAGTGGGACTAGACGACCTACAAGGACCCTTCCAACTCTGTTATTCTGTTCTGTCCTATCAGATCTGGTTCTACCTTCTACCAATCTCAGCTTCCAGATGATTTTTGCTATGGGTCAACAGCCCTTTGAAGAATACGGGGATAGATTGTGTGAAGGGTTTTGTCAGAATCCCCACAGAATGCATGAAGTGGCTCCAAGACTAACAAGTGTCTATTCATGGATAATAATAATACCCAGTTGTATCAACCACCAAGTATAGATGACCTTTGGGAGGTCCAGCAGTAACTTGCAATTCCTGGTCTTCTTTTTTTTCAAGGTTCTGGGACCTCAAGAAGTCTGCAAATGCCCCCTGCTTTCTGATCAGTTCCTGCCAAGGGCCTATCTCAGAGATTTCTCCATTCACCATCACAATGATGTTGTCTACTTTGGGTAGAATGTGGATGGAGTTGGTCACCAGGACGCGAGTCTGGAAAGCAAGAGGAAAATCCCTGAGGTAATTTACCAATAGCTTTGAGGTGCCAGTTACAAGAAGCGGGCTGACCAATCTGGGGAACTCCATAAATTACTGAACTGTAAGTCGTAGAATCTCTCACTATTGCCCGTGATGCTTAATGCTCCCTTATCATCATAAGGTGTTGTTTTTTTGTAAAAAGTTTTGTATTTTTCCTTTCAAATTTATTCTTAGATATACATTCTTGTAATTGCTATTTAACATTTGTCAACTCATATCATTTTTCCGCCTGTATATTTACATTTTGATATTTTTTTATTTCCCCTCCCCCTAATTTAATCATGTGTCGTCTGAGATATTTATTTCATGTTTTCTTCCTTTTTCTTTCTATTTATATCTTTTTTCAAGCCACTCATAA